CGTTGCGCAGTTTTAAAGATTTAAGCATACTTAGGGACAGACCGCGGGAAAGCGACATTGTTTTATACTATGTAGTGATTTACGTATACGAGATTCGATAGAGAAGTTGTTGAAATCAGTTGAAATATAAAATTTAGAAATTTGACTTAATCGTCGAAATACCCGTCAGCGATTTTTAATTAATTAATTAATTGTGAATCTAATAGTGTTTATAATGCAATTTCGTTCCTTAATAGACAGATCGCAGAAGCAGATTTTTATATGTTTATTTTGTTACTTATAGACGGTTATTAAGCGATAAATGTAACATTTGTTAATACTAAGAGATGTTAATTTTTTCTCTTCACAATTTCCCAACTTTATTTAATTTTCCAGTCTTTATTAGATTATCTAGCTTATATTTCTTTACACGCTATACGAAAATTATTATCAATGCTAATCTCATCAACGATAAGAACTGCATTCATCCCAGTGCATTTTGCATTAACAAGTAAATGCTTATTCTACCAATATTTTCATAAATTCGGGTGTTTACGATTAAAAGAACTCATTCACATTGCTAACAGATTTATTTTTGATCAATTTCGTTGATACAAATTTTACTGTTATCCTATGGCAAGCAGCTTGCTACGTCCTGTAGAACGTATGTTTTCTGTATACTGCCGAGACCATTATCTTGAAGAATTTTCTCAACTTCGTTTGCGTACTTGTNGAACAGTAACAGGTACCCTGTGTCCTTTTCTGTACTCCTGACAATGTGTGTACAAAATTTCATGATAATCCGTTGGGCAGTTAAGGCGTGAAAACGTAATAAACAAACTGTGGATCCCGTATCAATTTTTGACCCGAAATGGGATATTTGGCGAGTTACAAATCTAAAAATTACTGCCTGAGTTTCTACAACAGTTTTATCTAGAACTACCCCGGCCGAGTATTTCACACCTCCGAAACTTTGCCCTGCAACTCTGGGCGCGTGTCTAAAAGTCTAAAAACCATTGCTAGGAATGGAATCGGACTAACATTTTTGCTATTGTATAGGATTTGACGCACTTGAAGCTGTTTACCCTACTCCAAGACTGTGGGGTGTTGTCAATATTTTGATATTTAGGATGTTCAATTGGATATAAGACAGTAAACTACAATCGAGTCTGAACTACCCCCGATTTAGTATATTACACCTCCAGAACTGTTTTTCCGCTTTAGAAATACGTGTTGCTGATTATTTTTCGACGGAAAATATTATATTTGGAGAGCTATAAGCCTAAAACATCTTTTTCTCATATACGAATGACAAGTTTTACTGCAGGTCGAACCTGAAACTCCATATATCTCTCGAAGCTATTCAGGTGAAGTAGGTGGTTTTTTTATTACATTTTGGCAATTCATTCGCAAAGTAAATATAGTGCATAGATCCTGTTGTAAATTTTTTTTACAATAAAATGAAGAGAGCGTTGTAATGTTTTAAGTAGTGTTTGTAATTATATATTATTAAAAGAGTAATATTTGTAATTGCGTTTTCGAAAACGGTTGGATCGGTGAAATTTAAAACATGGTGAACGCTCGATCTAGGAAATGTTTATTTTTTGAAAAAAAACGAAAATTCGGTGCCCTCTAGTGTAAACATCAGTAATCTTATATTGAAAATGATAATAACAGGAGTAGATACTTAAAGTAATTTTCACTCTAAGAATACTTATAGATACACTATATAGATGGCATTGAAAATTTATTTTCCATTTTTTCCTCAAAAATATTGAGTCGCAAATATTTTCCTTGCGTATAGAATTCATAATTCACGAACGATTTACAAACAATTGAGTAGCCACAGTCATGGGGCGCTGATCCTAAGACTGGTTGGACACGCACCTCCACTCGAATTTAACTATAACTAAAAGAAATATTAGTTAGTTCTAATTAATTACCAAAGTTAGAATGGTCAACCTATTCCAAAATCATCCTAATCTCATGCACGATAAGGATTGCAGTGACTCCAGCCAAATACCTGCTCTTTCTCTAAGGTTCCCTGTAGTTGTAAACATTCTCATTTTTAGTGACTACAGTTAGAACTATAGAACAGTATAGCAAATGGGGTTTTACATATAGTTTAAACAATTCTATTGATATAGTACATATAAGACATCGCAAAGTCAACAATTTTAAGAATATTGAATAGTTGTCGAACTCTCCAACCCTGGACATTTTTTCAACCTCGAAACCGGAATGAAAAACGGAACCCTTATAGAATCAGTCGTGTGTCTGCCTGTCCGATTATTACAATGTTTTATTGGCTAGAAAATACGACAAATGACGCTGTAAACGCCATCTGTAGTCCAGTGCTACATTTTAGGATTACGTATGCTTCAACAAGGTCCATTTAAATATATGGATATCTACTTGATGAAACGAATCCCGGTGTAGCTAACCTCAACGTGATAGGCACGTTACCATAATCGAATAAAATAATTCGAAGTGGTCTGTATTCTGTCGAAACTGCCAGACGCGGATCGCGATTTCGATCTTTTTGGATCTCATCNTGGTACGTAATTTATAGACAACCCTATTAAACAATTCAATAGTTATTATCATAGAGAAAAGCATTTTTTTGCATATAATTAATCTAATCGAGTCTCATTAAGTAGGTGTAGGTATTTTTTTAAGGAAAATGTACAGTTATCTCTCGCCCTTCAGTCAATGATAAAATAATTCATACAGTAATCGGTTTTAATTATAAAAAAACTGTACTTTTTTGCCAATTTCCTTAATAAATGATTAAAAATGTTTGATACAGGGAAATGTTCGCGTATAGAGCTTCAAGTACCTGTCTTTTGATTTTTTTTGTCTTTTTATCTCGTACCTATTATTGAATGGATGTACTTCAGTTTTGTATTTTGTTACTGCTTTTTAAAAAACTTTATAATCTTATCTATATTGAATACTAGGTTTTACCAGCGGCTTCCCTCTCGTTGTTGACAAGTATCAAAAATCGACGACCACATAAAACAAATTTTTCTATCCCTCGGGAACAGTAACAGGTACCCTGTGTCCTTTTCTGTACTCCTGACAATGTGTGTACAAAATTTCATGATAATCCGTTGGGCAGTTAAGGCGTGAAAACGTAATAAACAAACTGTGGATCCCGTATCAATTTTTGACCCGAAATGGGATATTTGGCGAGTTACAAATCTAAAAATTACTGCCTGAGTTTCTACAACAGTTTTATCTAGAACTACCCCGGCCGAGTATTTCACACCTCCGAAACTTTGCCCTGCAACTCTGGGCGCGTGTCTAAAAGTCTAAAAACCATTGCTAGGAATGGAATCGGACTAACATTTTTGCTATTGTATAGGATTTGACGCACTTGAAGCTGTTTACCCTACTCCAAGACTGTGGGGTGTTGTCAATATTTTGATATTTAGGATGTTCAATTGGATATAAGACAGTAAACTACAATCGAGTCTGAACTACCCCCGATTTAGTATATTACACCTCCAGAACTGTTTTTCCGCTTTAGAAATACGTGTTGCTGATTATTTTTCGACGGAAAATATTATATTTGGAGAGCTATAAGCCTAAAACATCTTTTTCTCATATACGAATGACAAGTTTTACTGCAGGTCGAACCTGAAACTCCATATATCTCTCGAAGCTATTCAGGTGAAGTAGGTGGTTTTTTTATTACATTTTGGCAATTCATTCGCAAAGTAAATATAGTGCATAGATCCTGTTGTAAATTTTTTTTACAATAAAATGAAGAGAGCGTTGTAATGTTTTAAGTAGTGTTTGTAATTATATATTATTAAAAGAGTAATATTTGTAATTGCGTTTTCGAAAACGGTTGCATCTGTGAAATTTAAAACATGGTAAAAACTCCATCTACGGAAATGTTTATTTTTTGAGAAAAAACGAAAATTCGGTGCCCTCTAGTGTAAACATCAGTAATCTTATATCGAAAATGATAATAACGGGTGTACTTAAAATAATTTTCACTATAAGAATACTTATAGATACACTATATAGATGGCATTGAAAATTTATTTTCCATTTTTTCCTCAAAAATATTGAGTCGCAAATATTTTCCTTGCGTATAGAATTCATAATTCACGAACGATTTACAAACAATTGAGTAGCCACAGTCATGGGGCGCTGATCCTAAGACTGGTTGGACACGCACCTCCACTCGAATTTAACTATAACTAAAAGAAATATTAGTTAGTTCTAATTAATTACCAAAGTTAGAATGGTCAACCTATTCCAAAATCATCCTAATCTTATGCACGATAAGGATTGCAGTGACTCCAGCCAAATACCTGCTCTTTCTCTAAGGTTCCCTGTAGTTGTAAACATTCTCATTTTTAGTGACTACAGTTAGAACTATAGAACAGTATAGCAAATGGGGTTTTACATATAGTTTAAACAATACTATTGATATAGATATATAATGTTTACTTTTTCGGCAATTTTACTATTTATGTATCTGTAAAACATAAGCAATAATGTAGCGAGCACGAGTGTGTTTGTGTGCGATCGGGTACACGTGTGCATGAACGGCTTATCGATTCGCCGACTAGCCACAGGCGCCTTTCTTTTCATGTGCGCCGTATTTGTAAATGTGTGTGTCGTACCTGCGTTCTGCGAAAGCGGTTAAACAGTTCAAAGAAAAAGTAAACTATCCGAATGTTTTCCAGAAGGTTCGCGAAAGTAAACAAAAGAGGATTTAAGGGAAGAGACGATCGCCGAAAGGAGGAGAAATAAATTGACCGTTGCAGAAGTGAATCGAGAAATAAATTAACAGTGGTAGCAGTGAAATAAATAGCGCAGTGGATAGTTTTTCTCGTTATCAGTTTTAGGAGTAATTTTGTTAAACCCATATTACAATAACTTTATCTATAAGCACTCCAAGATATTTATACTTTTTAATCCACCCCGCAGTAAAATCAGTTCAGTCAATTTAGTTTTTCCAATATTAACCCTTAAAGAATTTTTGGACAACCACTCACACATTAAAGTTAATTCGCCATTTATTACATTAATTATGCTTTATTGACATTATCCAAGTGTTTACGATTATAACAACGTGTTCCTAATGCTAACAGGTTTAATTTTGATTGATTTCGTTAATGCATATTTTACTGTCGTCCTATGGCAAGCAGCTTGCTATGTCCTGTTGAACGAATGTCGTGCTTCTACTGGCGAGACCCATATTTCTAAGAATTTCCAGAATTCGGGCTATGTCGTCATCAATACTCCTAGTCCTGCTCCTTACATATAATATTTCTGCGAAATCAAAAAAATAGTTGAATATCCTAAAGACTAACGAATGAGTTCGTGAACACAAAATTTTTCGTCATAAATCCAAACATTAACGTTCTCTGTATAAGACTTAAAGAAAAAAAAATATTTTCTAAATGTTCATGCTTACCTCTTTTGTTGTTGCTGTCTACATTAACGCAATTGTAATCGACAGTGTAGCGATCATAATCGAACTCAAGGATTTTATATTGCACTGCTTCGTCGGAATCGTCGTATTTTACATTTATAATCCCTTGACTGTCATTACTAGCCAATGTCACTACGCCATCAGACTTAGAGCTTTTATGTACCGAAGAGATTCTCGAGGAGGTAAGTGATATTCTTGTAAAGTTTAGAGACTCGCAGTCGGCCTGACTGTCGGAACTATATACAGTGTACCATCTCCTCAAATTAGCTCCATACTATTTTTAAAAAAATACAGCGTGTAATTATACAATATTTTAAGTCTGTAATATCTTCGAAAATATTCATTTAAATTGCATGCTGTAAAGGGCCATATTGATCTATGTTAAATGCACAATGTATTAAAAATTACTTAATTGGATAATGATTAATGCTGTATTCCTTAAAATCGCTTCGTAAATAAGCCATTATTTCTCCTAAAAACTAAAGGATTAAAAATAGTTATTTTGGGTTATGCCTAAGAGATATACATATACCATCGCGGACTTTTTTGTAGACCCTTTTAAGACGTACAATATTGTAGTATATTATTTTGATCTGTCTCGTAGGGTTCAGCCAGCGTTTGCAATGTAAGCGCAAAAAATGTGTTTATTTACGACATCACATTAGAAAAATTATCAGGGTTTGTCTACTATATAATGCATGTATTATACATAAAAACCTTCCTCTTGAATTACTCTATCTACTAAAAGAAACCGCATTAAAATCCGTTGCGCAGTTGTAGAGATCTAAGCATACATAAGGACAGACAACGGGGGAAATGCGTTGCATGATTTCGTTACATAGCAACTCGCAACCCTACCGTGCGTAAAGAAGTTTCACTTCAAAAAAAAATATAATACAGATTACATATAGGAGGACATCGCAAAGTCAACCATTTTAGGAACATTGCAAGATAAAATATCAGATCTGTCTAACAATAACATTGAATAATCTTAGCCAGTTGTCGAACTCTCAAATCCTGGACATTTTTTCAACCCCGAAGCCCGAATGAAAAACGGAACCCTTAGAGAATCACTCGTGTGTCTGCCTGTCCGTTTATTACATGCTTTATTGGCTATTTTATTAAAATTGTTTATTCTATTCTCATATTATAACAACCCAAGTTTCACGTGAACGAAATAATGAGTAAAAACTAGTTTAAAATAAAATCAACTTACGTAATTAACCCCTGGGAAATCTTGTACCGGTTTTACATTTCTGTCTTCACATTGGCCTTGGGAGACGACTTGTGAATAAGAAAATGAAATTAACGCAAGAAAAACAATCGCGAAAAGTTGATTGAACATCTTTATTAGCACTTCTAGTCTATAACAACGCAAGGTGTAATTGTTTTTCATTTTTCTGGACGCAGATATATATATATATGCGAAGAAAAGTTGTTGAAGAAATCAAATTGATTAATCCTATTGTTTTAATCCTATTGTTTCGTGAAGTACTGAATTGTGTCGTTATCTCCTATTTGTAAGTTAATTAATTAAGGCTAATTAGGGGAGGTGGATGTCTAGCCGGACGTTAAGATGCTATTACGTGAGGGTTGGGTAGGTGAAAAATTGATAGACCACCCTATTAAATAATTCAGTAGTCATTATTATAACGAAAAGCATTTTCTTGTGTATTTAATTAATCTAATTGTGTCTCTTTAAGTGGGTGTACGTGTATTTTTCTCTCTCTATCTGTCTCTCTCGCTCTCTCGTTCTTCAGCAAATCGGTTTTAATTATAAAAATAACTACCTTTTTCTCAATTTTCTTAATAAATGATTAAAAATTAACACAAGTGTTTACGTATAGAACCTCAAGTACCCTTCTTTTTAATTTTATTGTCTTTTTATCTCGTAATTATTATTGAATGGATGTACTTCAGTTTTGTATTTTGTTATTGCGTTTTAACAAACATTAGAATCTTATCTATACTAGGTTTTACCCGCGGCTTCGCTTTCGTTGTTGACAAATATGAAGGATCGACGACCACATAAAACTAATTTTTCTATTTCTACAAAATTTCATGATAATCGTTTGGCCAGTTAAGGCGTAATAAACAAGCTGTGTGTCGCCTATCAATTTTTGACCCAAAATGGAATATTTGGCGAGTTACAAATCCCAAAATTACTGCCTGAGTTTCTACAGCAGTTTTAGCCAAAACTACCCCGACTGAGTCTTAAAATCATTGTCAGGAATGAATCGTATATTTTTGCCATTGTATAGGGTTTGACGAACTTGGAACCTTGTAGCCTACTCCAAGACTGTGTGGCTCTGTCGATTTTTTGATATTTAACTTGTGTTGGTACAACTTTTTATTTATTCAAAAAAAGAAGAAATTAATTAAAAAACTCATTCACTTGCCAACGGATCTAATATTTATTTCGTATAAATTTCACAAATTTACTTTTATTTTAAAATAAGCATGCACCTGGGTCCTGTACAACGTATGTCTTTTCTATATCGCCGAGACCATTATCTTCAAGAATTTTCGCAACTTTAGCGGCACTTTCGTTTGAGAAGACCCTAGTCCTGCTTCTGGCATATAATATTTCTAGAAAAGCAAAAAATAATTATATATTTTAAATTCTAACGATTGATTTTTACTGAATAGTTATCAAAAGAAATTAAAAAACTTATTGGAGCACATTATTATGCAGAGACTTTTTTTTTCTATTAATACTTTTTGGACTCCCGCAAAGGATTGGAATTGAGGGGGTATTAGAAAGGGTAGGAGAACAGGGCACGCTATAGAAGTCAATAACCAATAGGTGCGATAGGGTACTAGGGCATAAAAACATATTAAAAGCAGAAACAGAAGTTAAGAGAAGTGGAGGTAGATCTACATTAGACTATCGTTCACAAACAGTTAAGGATGCAGGATATGGTAGTTTAAGGGAAATGAAGATTACTCCACGATAGGGAAGATGATGATGATGGAAAATTAAGAGGACGAATCATCGGCAAATTTAACATGTGCCATGTGTTCAATAAACTTATTGTTACCTCTCGTCCACAAAATAATTTAATTCTGTCTTCATAAATATAAAGTTTATAATCGCGATTATGAGGTTATAGAAAGAAATTACTTTATATATGCGCTTTGTTACCTTTTCTGCGTTCGAAGTCTATATTTTCGCAATAGTAATCAATGGTGTATTGTTCATGATTGTACCCGAGAATTGTAAATTGCACTGGATCGACAGATTTCTCGAATTTTATATCTATGGTTCCTTGACCACTACCACTAGCCAATGTAACTACACCATTAGACTTAGACCATTGCTTTATTGGTATATATTTCTGATGCGAAATTACATTTGAGGATGCAGATGAGGGTCTTTCAAAGTTTAGATACTGGCAGTCGATCTGGATGTTGGAAGTAAACACAGTGAACCATCTCCACATAGTTCCATACTATTCAAAAAACAATTATAATGAATTGGATAATTTGTTATTAATTGAGTAATTTTTAAAAATAATACCAAAATATAATAACTGTGTAATAAAGAAGTATTCACGTTTTGTAAAATTCATATGGCCATTTCTGTTCTATTAAGATACAAAATATTTCGTATGTCTGCCTCTGTTTTAGTTACATCGTAAAATCAACCACAAAAAAGTTCTGAAATGTTGTTGAAAGTGTTGAATAAATTCTCTCAACTGGAGCAGATGTCCGAGATGAGGAAATCGCAAAGTCAACAATTTTAGAAACATTGAAAAATAAAATATCGCGTCTAGCTAAAATTATCGTAAATAAATAATCGAAGCCATCGTTAAACTCTAAAATGCCGGACATTTTTTCAACCTCGAAGCCCGGGTGGCACTAAGCATACAAAGGTTTATTGGCTAGCATCTGTTAATTGTTCATTGTTAAATTATAATAACTCGAGTTTCACGTGAACAATGTGACGTGTAAAATAAAGTCAACTTACGTAATTAACTCCTGGAAAATCGGTTATTGGTTTTATTTTTCTGTCTTCACACTGACCTTGAGAGATGTATTGTGAATAAGAAGACGAAATGAATGCAAGAAAAACAATCGCTAAAAGTTGCTTAAACATTTTTACTAAGTACCTACTTCTAGGGTGTTGCTTGCAAAATGTAATGGTCCTGTATTTTTCTGAGTGTATATATATATTGTTCAACAGATCGAATCAATCATCTTGTTATGATGTTAATGTCAAATAATAAGTTGTTTTTCCGAGAACTGTGCTGTAATCTCTCATCTCTCAACCACTTATTAGCGGATGTAAGTGTAGCTATTTGGGGGAAGAACGGGGCTCAGCCGGGCGTTATGTCCTATTATATTTGAGGCGGGGTGGTTAAAAATGGATGAATTATTTAATCTATGGAGAATAGTACAAAATAATTCAGCACGTATTATTATACAGAGTGGTATTTTTTATATTTGTGAAAAACATTTGATAAACAAGTCAAATTAATCAATCTAGGTGTAGGTATTGAACAATGTGTTTTCTCTTTATCAGAAATATGAAATCATTTCTCTGTGATTCATTGAAGTGTTTGCACGTAGAAGTTTACAAGTACTCTTCTTTTTAATTAAATTATCTTTTTTTTTTTGGCACTATCTCGCAATGTACACCAATGTTTTTTATTTTGTAACAGCATTTTAACAAACCTTAGAATTGTATCTATATTCAAATTGTGTAAGTAAACTGATACATCGCAGTCAGTTGATAATGAATATATTCTCAAACATAAACCAGCGCAGCGCAGACTATTGTGGAGCTGTTTTTCTCCCTTAAAACTTTGGGGTGCTGCTCATTTTTCAACCGAAAACAGGATACTCAACGAGTCCTGAGTTTGCAAACATAGGTTGCTGGGATATTTGGGTAGCTACAATTCTAAAAATTTTTATCTCGTATCAATAACAAGTTTTTATTGTAGTTTCAACCAGAACTGTTGCAGAAACTCGCGATTCGTAAGATACAATTAAGAATGACTAGTCAACAATTTGAGTATAATTAAGTAATAATAAAATGATAGTCTTAGTCTAGCTTATTTGATAATTGGGGAACATGGAAATGACAAGGAAGTATCACAGGGCGAGTGAAGACGGTATGCCGTCTCACCGCCCTGCATTTGCACGATTTTGAATTCGACTCGTAACTTTCGTCTCTCGACTCGGTTCGACTCGACTCCTCTATTGTCATTAATGCCGTTATTTAAACGGTCGCTAAATGACCAATGACAGAGTAGGAAAGTTGGTGTTAGCTTGCAATTTGAAATAACTAATTCAGACGCACCAACAAAATATTTTTTCGAGTTTTGGAGGTTTTCGACTTATCGAGGTTCGAGTTAAAGAGGTTCTACTGCAGATATAAATGAAATCAAATAACCCAAGCCACCCATTAAACTCTTAAACCCCAAACACTTTTGCAACCTCGATGACAGGATAGCACCAAAAACTAGTTCAGGCAACTTTTTCTTACAATGGCTTATTGGCTTATATTCATAATTGTTCATTGTTAAATTATTACTCAACAAACAAAGTGACAAGTAAAACCTAGTTTCTAGATGTAGTTGAAAACGTAATAAACAAGCTGTGTGTCGCCTATCAATTTTTGACCCAAAATGGGATATTTCGCGAGTTACAAATCCCAAAATTACTGTCTGAGTTTCTACAGCAGTTTTAGGCTAAAACTATTCCGACTGAGTATTTCACACAAGTATTAAAATCATTGTCAGGAATGAATCGTATATTTTTGCCATTGTATAGGGTTTGACGTAGGTACTTGGAACTTTTTAGCCTACTCCGAGACTGTGTGGCTCTGTCGATTTTTTGATATTTAACTTGTGTTGGTACAACTTTTTATTTATTCAAAAAAGGAAGAAATTAATTCAAAAACTCATTCACTTGCTAACGGATTTAATATTTATTTCGTATAAGTTTTACAACTGTTATTTTAAAATAAGCATGTACCTGCGTCCTGTACAACGTATGTCTTCTCTATATCGCCTAGACCATTATCTTCAAGAATTTTCTCAACTTCAGCGGCACTTTCGCTTGAGAAAATCCTAGCCCTGCTTCTGACAAATAATATTTCTAGAAAAACAAAAAACAGTTATATTTATATTATAGTTATAAAGAGTAACGATTGATTTTTACTGAATAGTTATCAAAAGAAATTAAAAAACTTATTGGAGCACATTATTATGCAGAGACTTTTTTTTCTATTAATACAGAAGTTAAGAGAAGTGGAGGTAGATCTACATTAGACTATGGTTCACAAACAGTTAAGGATGCAGGATATGGTAGTTTTAGGGAAATGTGAAGATTACTCCACGATAGGGAAGATGATGATGATGGAAAATTAAGAGGACGAATCATCGGCAAATTTAACATGTACCATGTGTTCAATGAACTTATTGTTACCTCTCGTCCACAAAATAATTTAATTCTGTCTTCATAAATATAAAGCTTATAATCGCGATTATAAGGTTATAGAAAGAAATACTTTATATATGCTCATTGTTACCTTTTCTACGTTTCGTGTCTATATTTTCGCAATTGTAATCAATGGTAAACTGATCATGGTTGTAGCCGAGAATTGTAAATTGCACTGGATCGACAGATTTCTCGAATTTTATTGCTATAACTCCTTGACCACTACCACTAGCCAATGTAACTACACCGGTAGACTTAGACCATTGTTTTATTGGTACATATTTCTGATGCGAAATTACATTTGAGGATGCAGGTGACGGTCTTTCAAAGTTTAGATACTGGCAGTCGATCTGGATGTTGGAAGTAATCACAGTGAACCATCTCCGCAGGCTTCCATACTATTAAAAAAAAATTATAGTGAATTGGATAATTTACTATTAGATGACTAATTTTTAAAAACAGGTAGTCACGTTTTGTAAAATTCATATGGCTATTTGTGTTCTATTAAGATACAAAATATTTCTTATATCTGCCTGTCTGTTTGTACGTACTAGCTAATATTCGAATAAATAGCCTCGCTTTTACGGTGCTAGTCCTGTCAGGATAGTACTTTCGTGACAGTTATGAAAATATTTAAGAAAATGCGAACAATGTGACGTGTAAAATAAAGTTAACTTACGTAATCAACTCCTGGAAAATCTTTTGCCGGTTTTATATTTCTGTCTTCACACTGACCTTGAGAGATGTATTGTGAATAAGAAGACGAAATGAATGCAAGAAAAACAATAGCAAAAAGTTGCTTAAACATTTTTACTAAGTACCTACTTCTAGGTTGTTGCTTGCAAAATGTAATGGTCCTGTATTTTTCTGAATGTATATATATATTGTTCAACAGATCGAATCAATCATCTTGTTATGATGTTATATATCAAATAATAAGTTGTTTTTCCGAGAACTGTGCTGTAATCTCTCATCTCTCAACCACTTATTAGCGGATGTAAGTGTAGCTATTTGGGGAAGAACGGGGCTCAGCCGGGCGTTATGTCCTATTATATTTGAGGCGGGGTGGTTAAAAATGGATGAATTATTTTCTGAATATATATATATATATTGTTCAACAGATCGAATCAATCATCTTGTTATGATGTTATATGTCAAATAATAAGTTGTTTTTCCGAGAACTGTGCTGTAATCTCTCATCTCTCAACCACTTATTAGCGGATGTAAGTGTAGCTATTTGGGGGAAGAACGGGGCTCAGCCGGGCGTTATGTCCTATTATATTTGAGGCGGGGTGGTTAAAAATGGATGAATTATTTAATCTATGGAGAATAGTACAAAATAATTCAGCACGTATTATTATACAGAGTGGTATTTTTTATATTTGTGAAAAACATTTGATAAACAAGTCAAATTAATCAATCTAGGTGTAGGTATTGAACAATGTGTTTTCTCTTTATCAGAAATATGAAATCATTTCTCTGTGATTCATTGAAGTGTTTGCACGTAGAAGTTTACAAGTACTCTTCTTTTTAATTAAATTATCTTTTTTTTTTTGGCACTATCTCGCAATGTACACCAATGTTTTTTATTTTGTAACAGCATTTTAACAAACCTTAGAATTGTATCTATATTCAAATTGTGTAAGTAAACTGATACATCGCAGTCAGTTGATAATGAATATATTCTCAAACATAAACCAGCGCAGCGCAGACTATTGTGGAGCTGTTTTTCTCCCTTAAAACTTTGGGGTGCTGCTCATTTTTCAACCGAAAACAGGATACTCAACGAGTCCTGAGTTTGCAAACATAGGTTGCTGGGATATTTGGGTAGCTACAATTCTAAAAATTTTTATCTCGTATCAATAACAAGTTTTTATTGTAGTTTCAACCAGAACTGTTGCAGAAACTCGCGATTCGTAAGATACAATTAAGAATGACTAGTCAACAATTTGAGTATAATTAAGTAATAATAAAATGATAGTCTTAGTCTAGCTTATTTGATAATTGGGGAACATGGAAATGACAAGGAAGTATCACAGGGCGAGTGAAGACGGTATGCCGTCTCACCGCCCTGCATTTGCACGATTTTGAATTCGACACGTAACTTTCGTCTCTCGACTCGATTCGACTCGACTCCTCTATTGTCATTAATGCCGTTATTTAAACGGTCGCTAAATGATTAATGACAGAGTAAGTAGGTTGGTGTTAGCTTGCAATTTGAAATAACTAATTCAGATGTACAGGTCCAACGAAGGAAGCTGGCGAGCGATCTCGCAGGTATTTGCCTATTTATGATCTATTTGGGTAAGTCACTTGGAGCCGATACACAAATAAGCTTTCAGTAGGCGTAAATAAATAGTATTAATGCAGATAGGATAGTAGCGTACTAGAAAATAATGTAGAAACATAACTTTTCCAAAAAATAAAAATAAACCTATTGCTTTTGTTTTATAGTCAGTTTTCACATTCACTGTCATCATGAAAATCTCTATCACTGTCACCAACATCAACAATTAGTTCTTTTGTTTGTCTGTCTATAACTTGCTCATTGATCCCTATTTTTAAATATTTAATCTAGGCTTGTGTGTGAAAAATTCCAGTTAATTCTACGCAGTAGTTTTGGTTGGTGCGATAAGCAGCATTTTCGACATATTTTACTGTTTTACTACAGAAAGGGTAAAAATGCTGTTCAAGCCAGAAAGAAATTGACTGATGTGTATGGAGAAGGTGTGTTGACAGTACGCCAGTGCCAGAACTGGTTCGCTAAATTTCGATCCGGCAATTTTGATGT